ATGGTGCCAAGCCCCTTTTGACCCTGAAGGGATTTTAAGGTTTGCACATTTATTTTCCTTTGTAGTTCAACACAATTGATTCTCAGTAGAACCACATTGTATGAAGAAAGAAGTAGATTAGTGTTATGACTTCTCATTTCAACTTTCTCCACCCACATGCTAAAAACTTAAGGATAAATCGCAAAAACAGAATGATTACTATTCTGGTCCACTTATCTCAGGTTCAATTGTGAATATATCTTGATTAGGAAAGACTCTAAAGCACGTGACTGAATATCTAAAGCATAATTTACTTAAAATTTAAGTTGTTTTCTATTGCCATTATTACTTTTAACCTCATTCTACATTCATTGTAGTACAGTGATGGCTACAGTCTCTTGCTTGCTCGGTCTGCAATATGGGCACATTATTGTCCATTTTAAGGTGAGCAGTGGCCTTGTGACTCGTTATTTTGTTTTATAAAGGTGAATAGTGCCTAATCATTCTTATCTACCTTGATCACACACAGGATCATAAAACTAGACTATTGCAGTGGTTTGTCCACTCATGTGGTCTTGTGGCCTTGGCTGTGATATGTGAAGTGTGTGGTAAGATTTTTTTCAATTACTTTTTCGCAGTATTACATTCTGACGAAGTTGCTGATTTGACTGCATTTCCCAAAAGAATTCTTGGAAAACCATTTTTTTTTTTTTCAAGAATTCAAAGTAAAAGATGCAAAATTATACTCTTTTCATGCCCACTTAAACGAACAAATGAAATAAAACGTCAGAACAGCAATCTGATGTCATTACATTTGTCCAATTTCAAATTTTGAATATCTATTTTTTCCTGATGTAATGTTTTCCCCATTGACATTAATTTGTTCTTGTTGTAGGGATGCATATAAACAAGGTTCTATATTCTTTCAGTTACATGTGCTTCACTACTGGCGCTGCTGGAATTCTTTTTGCTTCAATTTATATAATGGTTAGAGAAGTCATCCCAATTGTTCAAGCGTATAACCATTTGATACATATGACTTGTTTAAACATACTACAATTGGTTTACTTCTGAAGGCCCTACTTTTACTTCAGAGTTATTTAGCCACACGGTACGAATAAAAACTTGATATTCTACTAAGTACAGGCTTATTCCTCTTACAGGTTGATGTGTATGGATATACACGCTTGACTGTGGTGCTGGAGTGGATGGGAAAGCATGCTTTAATGATATTTATTCTCGTAGCGTGCAATGTTGTACCACTTATTCTGCAGGGATTTTATTGGGGTCAACCTCATAATAACATTGTTAGTTTGTCAATTCTTTGCTCATAAATTTACGTCTCTTTCACTCTATTGCTGATTTTTTTTTTCCTAATTTTTTATTTTTGCCTGACAAATAATCTGATTTTTGCAGCTAACTTCAATTGGAATTGGGGCACAGGGATAGCAAAACAGCTCTTTACATCTGTTTTCAGTCCAGTGCAGTATTTAAGATAGGTGAGGGTTAGCCAGTGATGCAGAATTTGTTCCCTCCGCCATCTTAGATGTCTACGTTCCTGCATAGCACACGGTGGAGCATCGACGTAGAAAGAGTTAGAATGGTAGGAAAATAAGTAGAATTATCAATATTTTTCACTCGTCTTAAAAGTTTTGTTTCATCTTATGGGTCATTGAGGCTATAGGATTTTATGTATTTTGATTAGTAACGCAGATGCTACTCTGAAACCAGTTAATTATAAATTACATGGTCCTCTTGCACGAAAAATTGAGCTGCTTGTTTGTACTTTGATTCCACCAAGAAAGTTACATACTAATTGACCAAAGGCAAAGAGTAAATTGTTGAGTTTGAGAGTGAAACGATGAAAAAAAATCCTATTTGGTTGCCAAATTTTTTTAGCTTTCTAATGAACTTGGAAAGTTTTGACTTCCAATGGATCGACTTAACATATTTGCAGGAGAGGGGGAGAGAGAGAGGGAGAACTGTAGAAGTAATTC